TTAGACATCAAAGCTAAATGCAGACAGATCATGAAGTAATTTTAAGCAGATACCGGTTGAGGTGACTTATGTGGGAGTGTGTGTGGAGTGTATATGCATGTTCGTGTTCGTCTTTTGTCTCGAAAATCCAGTATTTGGAAGATTAAACACTGAATGGTAATTACTTAAAAATTAATAACCAAGGTAGTTAAATACTTTGTCAGACTTCTGTAAAATTGATTTAGAGTGGTAATGCAAGTTCTATTCTATTGTCTCTTGTTCACAACTTTTTTCTCTTTGTGAAATTCTTTTTCTGTAGGCATTGTGGAGAGGATATTCTTGGAGAAAGAGCAATGACACAGCAAAAACCAAAGCTTTAAGACGCAGTTTAGAAAAGGCTAATGAAAAGAGCAGAGAAGAAAACAAATTGTGCAACAGAACTGCAGTTGCTATTGATTACCTTCTAAAATACAAACATATCTCTTACATTCTTGCAGCATTAAAGCATCTTGGTCAGTATTTCGTTTTATTATAACTGATAGATTTCCAAGATGATAGAAACTGGAATTTTTCAGCTGAGAAGAGTTCATAATGATATTTAGGCTTCCTATATGATTGTAAAATGTGAACGTGTTAGAGAGTATAATGGGGTTTTTTTTCCAGACTGAAATTAGATTATTGATTTAAGAACAATATTAAAACAGTTATGTAGAGAAAGGAAATCTATATGATTGCTCTGATTTCCTGGCAGTCCTAGTAAATACTATGCTTTACATAAGTCAATTATATTTACTATCAGTATAAGTTCTCTGTGGATTGTTTTGTCTGGTTAATTTTTAATCTGGAATATTAACAAGTATTTTTAAATCAATAGTTTTTAAATCAATAATTTCGGGTTTTACTTCTTTGCACTTCTGCTTAAAAATAAGAGAAAACCCTGGTTTGCAATTAAATTGCTTGAGCTTCAGAGTTTTCTTTTTTTTTTCTTTAATTATCATAGAGGTGGCTACCAGGCTGTCCCCGCTCTGTTGCGAAAATATGGCCCAGAGCAGAGCAATCTTCGCTATTTTTGTTCTGATCCGAAGTTGCAACCGGAGTGTTCCGTGCATGGATGTGATCAGATATTCAATTCAGGTTCTACTTAATGTTTCAAAGGTAACTTTAATATTTTCTTTTGCAGGTTTATAAGCTGTAGATGACTTCACTGTAGTGTTTATTAATCCACAAAATTTCTGAATAAATTTGAAACAACAAAATAGCTTTGAAAAAATTAAGAAACTTTTTTTTAAACTGTGTTATTTTGAAACCAATTATCTACTTAATAATAATTATGATTTAATTTTCCTTTTGGCAAAAGAAAATGATTTCATGAGCTTAAGGTAATAATTTTACTTTTAACTGATTACATTGCAAGGTATTCCAAGTATTGCATGAAACTGTAGAAATGCATAAAATTCCATAGAAATGCAAAACTGTAGTAGTTCGGATAAGCTATGAAGTTTTTTTTAAGGTAGAAATGTGTATGTTCCAGAAGACAGGCTACTTTTCCAAATTCATGTCATAGAATAGGCTATATTTACACTTTTTGATTTCTTAGAAGAGAACTGAGTATTTTCATAAATACTTAAAGCCGCTTCAGTACTGTAGTTATTGAGTACAGATTGATTATTCTAGAGGGTTTTTTACATGAAATTTAAAATTTTTGCTAAACATAGTTTTTGATCTTATATCCATTCTTTTTATTTCAGGAAAAAAATTTAACATTTATGCTAAACTTATTTTTTTAATTTCTCTAAACTTATTCTAATATATTCTTCTATTTTAAATGTAAAATCAGATTCTATGGGTTTCTAAACAAGGGGGGAAGCACAAAGGGTAGCTTTTTGTAACCTGTTACAATGGTATAACATACAGAAGTGATTTTTATTGCTTGGATGCCAGATCAGCTATAAATTTAATCTAGGGGGAGAGAAAAAGGATTTTGCTTTTTCCTCTAACCTGAAAGGTATTTTAAAGATCTGTCTGTATAAACACTCTTGTCTCTTTCTTGTATAACAGTATGAAAGAACTACTCAAGCAGTTTATGAAGTAGAAAATTCTGTAGATACATTACTAGACCTACTGCAAATGTACAGAGGGAAAGCTGGGGACAAAATTTCAGAGAAAGGAGGAAGCATTTTCACAAAGACCTGCTGTTTGTTGGCCATCCTTTCAAAGGACTCAAAAAGAGCTTTGGTAAGACTTAAATGTTTTGGGTTTTAACATGCTTTTCTTGCATGTTTTGGTGTAATTTGTAATTTTTTTTTTTTTCCTCTCCCTCTCTACCCTACCTATTATGGCCGTGGTATTAATTATGACTAAACTCTGATTTAAAAAATAAAATGCATTTCCAAGATGGTGAAAACACTCATGACTTTGTGCTTTGTATGTCCTGGTCACCCAGAGCTATTCAATAAGATATTGAGGTTCTGATCCTGCAATCCTTGCAAGATTATGATATTGCCATCCCTACTTTCCACGGGGTTTTGATGACTTTCTATCAATTGCTTAGCATTAGATATAGTTTAGTTGTCACTTAATTAACTTGTATTCCATTTCTGAAAGTTTATTTTTGCTTTTCAGATAAAGTTAAGATCTTTATTGTCAGTAACAACTGGCAGTATAATTGTCCATGACTTTGTGTTGACATACTCTATTGTAACAGAGATATAGCCTGTTTCTGAAAGAAATTTCCTTTGTTCATGCCTATTGCTAGAATCCCTAATAAGGTTATTAGGGTAGTCTGGGTTCTATGCTATAAATTCACTAGCTGCTTATCCATCAGATATACGCACTTAAGTTATCCAGTCACTTCTGACCATTGCATTATTCTTTCATTGCTATGAAGACAGGTACAAACACTAATTTGTCTCTCTGTACCAGTTAATGAAGGCATATGCTAATGACATATGTAAAAATTGGTTTTAATGAGAAATTACTAAAATCTGACTTGAAAGAGCTTGAGTTTTCTGAGATCTCAAGTCACATACCAGTTGTTAAGTATTTTGAAAGCATTAGACCACTGACTTGTAGGTGTGCTGGCTTTAAAATGGTTTCACTGTACTTGTGGGTAGAAATTCAGCTTAAATTATAAACATGCAGTTTTCATTGAATAAAACAGATTTCTTGATTTGTTAAGTTGTTTTCGAACTTGTAGTATTAACTGTGTACTATTCTCACCTTTTCTCAGGAAATCCGAAGCCTACCAAGAGCTGTTACTTGCATTCAAAGTCTATATAAACTTACAGCTCATAAACACAAAATGGATGCAGAGAGAACAGTTGTGAAGCAGAAAACAAATACTTTAAGTGGAACTTCCTTTGTTCCAGTAACTCCTCTAAGAATAAAAACAGTTTCAAGGTAAGAGCTTAAAAATTAGTCTGCTGTTTTTGCTGTGGCAATATAATATTTTAATGAGCAGCCACTAATATTTTCACAGAATTAAACCAGACTGGGTTTTGAGGAAAGATAACATGCAAGAAATTGTGGATCCTCTGCAAGCAATTCTGATGGTGATGGATACACTTGGTATTGCCTGCTACTGAAATGTAAATGATGTATATGAAAATGTATTTGTACAGCATGTATGTATTAGACACCTAAATGATTTTGAAAGAAAGCAATTAAGTGTCAAGCTACCCTTGAAAATGTTTTTCAAATTGCAATTAACATTTCTGTGACTTTTTTGTGTTGTGTATACAGCTTTTGAAATCCTATTTTGTACTACTACCAAAAGCAATTGTACAATAAAATCATAAGCCCTGGAAATTTCACTAGTGTGGTAATGTTATTGTTATTATACAACTGTGAATCTTACAAATAGCATGGTATTCCTCACTCTGATTAAATATTGTAGAATGCTATTAAAAACAGTTGTTTGTGTGGGACAGTTATGCTGGCTTGTCTGATCTGGAGAGGTATAGGTAGGAAGGGAGGCATAGTCTGTGGATTTCAAAACTGGCTACTGTTTTGGGGGAGCTTGAGTTTACTTTCTATAAGGTTTTAGGGATCATGTGTGGCTGTAGGAAACTTTTTTTTTATAATTCCCTTTTTTTTTTTTTTTTTTTTTAAGCACTACAAGATTATGATGGAACAACGGGAGGTTGTAAGTGTGAATTTAGAAATTCTGACCTGATATTTTAAGGGAGATGATTTGTGAGTGCTTTCCTTCCTATCAAGTGAGCAGTACATACAAGCATGCATCTCATCTGGCTGAATAGATGGTGTTCATCACAGCATCTCCCTTAAATTCTGTTCTCTTGGCCTTGGAATTGCGTTTTCTTAGAGCAAGGCCAAGAAAACGAAAACTGTAGAATTATACCCTCCCTTGCCCAAATTTAAAGATTATGCCTCCCAAGGGTGGAATGTGATGCTAAATCAACTGGTAGCCATTAGTCAATTAGGTGATAACGCATTGTAAATGAGGTTCTATTTTTTTGTTTGTTTGTTTACAAAAAGATTCAGAAGGGGCTAGCTGTATACAACAAAACCCAACAGACAGATAATAGTGGCTATGTTCTTAATGTAAGAGCCTCCAGAATGAATAATATATACGATGCAACTGACTGGTTATATGGGGGTAGGCTGGAGGAGGGGAGAATTTTCTATTTCCTCTTATTTCAGCCAAGGTAAATAATCTGATAACAGAATGCCCTTTCAACTTGGAACTTCTGAGGGGAACAGTATTCAATTAGTTTAAATTGTTCCATAAGCTTGTTGTCTGGTTTCAGTGTAAAATGATAAATTCTGTCGTCTTTACTGATGTGAAGTATGCCAAATGGAAGTTGAATTCTGCAAGTCTGGTGTTAGGGTATTTGGAGAACTAAAATAAATGAAGAGAGTGTTTTCAGTGAAATAACTTGTTGCAAAATACCGTGGACACTAAGGCATTTGTGAATACCTTTGAAAATCCAGTTAATTATTTACAAAAGTAATACTTAGGGAGTTTTCACAGGTGGTGGAAACTGTTGGTGGAGATAGTAATGAAGATGCGATTTAAAAGCTGTTTTTTCTTCCTAGTTATGATGTATTCCGGCAAACTCTTTGCAGAAGGTAAATACAGTGAATTCTATTGTTAATAAATGTACATTGAGTCTAGAACATGCAGTCTAAGGTAGCTTAAGTCTTTCATATCTTTACCAAGAGTAAATGCTGCTTTTTAAATATAACTTTGTTGTGAGATGGCTGATGATTGTGATTCAATTGTCTCTGTAGCTCAGGGCTACAGATTCATATCTAAGCTTCAAAGCTGTAATATTGGAAGGTTCAGACTTTTATTCAGAAAAAGTTTCTTTTGAAATGTATTTGAGTCACTTATAGAAATTGAATTTTTGTACTATTAAAATATTTTATATATTGAAGTGTCTTGGTGATTGAAGTGTTTTGGCTTACCACAAAGCAAAAGAGTGGAAGTTAAATGGAACCTGCAGAAGCTAGTCTGGGGTGGTTCCATGTTTCCTATCCCTATTTTCAGTATTGCTTTAAAATTCCTGGGTTTATATAGTTTACACAGCACTTGAACTGCAAGTTCACAAAGCTGTGGACTGTATATGAGGGTACACCTCCATTAATTGAAAAGGTGTCTCTTTTTTTGCATTTCATTTTGTATCTGCTAATGTATATTTAACTCCAACATATTTGTTGCAACAATCTGTCCTTACTAGAGATTTTTCCTTATGCAAAGCCATTGAAATTACACTGATACCCTTTGGAAAGACAAACAAAAGGTATGTAGGTAGCAACTGTTTCTGTCTTTTAATTACTTAGAAATCTTACCCTCAGTTGTTTTTTTGTGTGTGTGGTTTTTGGTTGTGTTTTTTTTTTTTTTTTTTTAATTTTAATTTAGATATGATACAGTGCCTGTGTGAAGAAGGGAATTATTAAAAAAAATTGTTGTGGCACTTTCTATTTAGTAAAAATACTAAATTTGCAGAAAATTCTAGTAAATGCAGTAATTTCTAGTGATGTTATTGAGTGAAGGAGCAATAGTTTGTTATTTTGGTTCTAATATCTGTAGGGTGAATGCAGCTGTACCAACTTGTGGGAAAATTCTGCCCAATTATAATGAGATTCATAGGTGGTGATTCAGTTTTTAAAACTTGATTCCTCAGGTTACGTTGCCTTGTAATGCCATGGAGAGAATTTGAGACCCAAATGATAATTTTATAAGAAATCCAAACAAGTATTGCTTTTTTTTTTTAATAACTTAATGTCATATTCAGTACAACTTCTTTTCAAGGTTTTATCTTATTACCGTTTTTTTAGATTGCTGTTCTGCTTGTTTTTTCCTTAACCTCCATTTTCTTTTCTATTCACTCTGCTCTTAAATTCCCTTTCTTCAGCAAGTTTAACTCCTGTATTGCCTCCTGGCAGTTTGTTATACTGTTCTGATAACGTCTGCTGAATTGAGGAGCTATGGCATAGCTAATCTTGACACTGTTGCTGCTGGATTTTAGAGCAGGTATCAGTATGTTTATGCAGCAAAGGGTGCTCATGCTTACATCTTCTGGGCTAAATAAAGAGTCAAATAAATGTGTCCTGCATCAGTTTTGCCCAGTTCACATTAGAAAGTTTCATTCTACAGCTGATATTCCTGTGAACCTAAAGAACAAAAGCTGATATAATTGTAATATATCTTAATTTCAGTGAGTCTTTTAAGACCCTTCATGCTTATAAGTATTCAGAATTTCATTCACCTTGTTTGGAAGCCTGAATCAATCCAACTGATACTAAATAATTAATATTAAAAAAGTTCATATCTGGGCTGAGATTTTTAGTGAGAAATATATTTATCTTTTTGCAGATAAACCTTGTGATTTGCCACACATAGAAAATGGAAAGATTGCCCAGTACTATTATAATTTCAAAAGTTACTATTTCCCTATGCATAAGGCAAAAAAACTTTCCTATTCTTGTATGGTTGGTTATACAACTGAAACTGGGAATCAAGATGGAAGAATGACTTGTACAGCAAAAGGATGGTCTCCAGTGCCACAATGCTACAGTGAGTTAGCTTTATTAATATCATCGCTTCTAGCAGGAAACTTTTCTAGCTGGATTTCCTTGAACATACAGGAGCAGAAGCTGCATAACAGGTGGGATAAAATGTATAAGTTAGGACAACAAGGTGAAATCAATCCTTTATGTATACAAACTACATATGTTTATATATGGAATGTTTTACAATAATAAATATTTTAAGGGCTTTTACCATATATGTTTTTATAAGAATGCCAAGAATGCTGCCCAGTTTCCTTATTTTGGGAAAACTAATAGATAGTTTCCCCTCAGATGTATATCCTCTAGAGCCTCCCTAGCTCGAGATTCCTTGGTGGTTGTGTTCCATGTTATTACCATCAGTTTCATGTATTGTTTGATGATTGTGGTAGAGTTTCTTCAATAGGTCAAGAAAACAAGATTAGATCAGGATAGCTAAAAACCCCCTTCTCTTGCTTATCAGAGAACAAAAATATTGCATTAATTCTTTCTTTCTAACCAAGCTGTCTCCTTTCATTAGAAAAATGTAACAAACCTCTTCTGGAAAATGGCTGCTTTTATGGTACAGAAATGTACTTCAAAATACACGAGAAACTGCAATACAAATGTAATCCAGGCTACCACACTCCAAGCGGTGGTACTGAAGATACAGTACAATGTTGGCCAGAAGGATGGTCCTCCCAGCCAAGCTGTACTAAAAAATTTGGTAGGATTCTGCATTTTTCTCCTTTATAATCTGTTTTATATGTGTATGATTCTGCTGTCCTTGCTGTACCTGTAAGGCCAAACTGCCTATGTTAGGTTATCATCTGAGTACTCCTAAAGTAGGTTCTCAGCTGTACCTCATGGGAAGAAGTTGTCGGATTTCACATGCTGCTAGTTTTGTGAAAATGTGTAGATAAAATTACACGTAGAAGGAATCAGTATAGATGAAATTGCATTGTTTCAAATAAATCCATTGTCACCCAAACTTTCTTCCCAAATGACAACTGGAAAGCTTGTGTAAGCTACTGCATTCTTAATTATTCATTATTTGCAAAGAATTTTGCCTTGTATATGACCACTTTTAAGGTGTATGTGAGGAAAATTTTAGATTAATAACTTGAAATGAAAAGAGCAATTCATAGAATCATAGAACAGTTTGGGTTGGAAGGGACCTCTCAAGGTCATCTAGTCCAACCCCCCTGCCGTGGGCAGGGACATCTTCAACTAGATCAGGATGCTCAGAGCCCCATCCAACCTGGCCTGGAATGTTTCCAGGGATGGGGCATCCACCACCTCTCTGGGCAACCTGTGCCAGTGCTTCACCACCCCCAGCGTAAAAAATGTCTTCCTTATATCTAGTCTAAATCCCCCCCCCCTTTAGTTGGAAGCCATTCCCCCTTGTCCTGCTGCAACAGGCCCTGCTAAAAAGTCTGCCGACGTCTTTTTTATAAGCCCCCTTTAAGTACTGATAGGCCGCAAGAAGGTCTCCCCGAAGCCTTCTCTTCTCCAGGCTGAACAACCCCAACTCTCGCAGCT